AAAAAAAAAAAAAAAAGTGTTCCCTTCTCTCCGCATCTATGCCAGCTTCTGCAGCTTTGAGGCTTTGTGATGTGGGCCATTCTCGCTGGGGTTAGATGATATCTCAGGGTGGTTTTGATTTGCATTTCCCTGATGATTAGGGAGGATGAGCATTTTTTTTATGTTTGTTAGCCATTCATCTGTCTTCTTTAGAGAAGGTTCTATTCATGTCTCTTGCCCAGTGATCTAAGGGATTGTTGACTTTTTATGTTTATTAATTTGAGTTCTCTGTAGATCCTAGTTACCAAGTTTTTGTCTGATTCAAAATGTGCAACTATGTACCCAATGTGTAGTATAGGTTGTCTGTTTGCTTCGGTTGTTGCCTTAGCCGTACAGAAGCTTTTCAGTTTCTTTTTCTTTCTGTTTTTCTTTTGAGACAGAGTCTCAAGCTGTCACCGTGGGTAGAGTGCCATGGCATCACAGCTCACAGCAACCTCAAACTCTTGGGGTTAAGCGATCCTCTTACCTCAGCCTCCCCAAGTAGCTGGGACTACCGGTGCGCGGCACAACACCCAGCTAGTTTTTGGTTGTAGTTGTCATTGTTTGGCAGGCCTGGACTGGGTTCAAACCCGCCAGCTCTGGTGTATGTGGCTGGCGCCCTAGCCGCTGAGCCAGCTTTTCAGTTTTATTAAGTCCCATTTGTTTATTTTTGTTGTTTCAGTTGCCATGGCAGTCGTCCTCATAAAGTCTTTCCCCAGGCTGATAGCTTCCAGTGTTTCCCCATACTTTCTTTGAGGATTTTAATTGTTTTGTGCCTTAAATTTAGGTCTTTTATCCATCTTAAATCAATTTTTGTGAGTGGACAAAGGTGCGCATCCAGTTTCCGTCTTTTACATGTGAATATCCAGTCCTCCCAGCACCATTGTTGAATTGAGAGTCTTTCCCCCAGTGTATGTTCTTATTTGGTTTATTGAAGATTAGGTGGCTGTGAACCTTCTACCATTTTTAATATGATGGCTATCATCTCAATAATATGATTTTGAAACTCCTGGGGTAGCTTTATCCTTCTACCCCTGTTCCAGAGTCAGTAATACCAAGCCCTCCATAAGCCTAAGTAGCACGTTCAAGAGAGCCAGTGGGCACAAGTGTATCAGACCCACAGGGAGTCAGCAAGCCACTGCAGTCAGTCCCTCCCTGGGAAGTAGCTGCCTGCTGCACCAGTGAGACAAGGTGTCACCACACCGTGTCAGGACGTCCCCCTTCAGCTCCTGTTAGAACTGCTATTTCCCCTTTTCTCAGGTTGGCAGCCTCGTTCCAGAAGTTAATAGGCATGTCCAGGTCCTCCTGGCCTATTCCCAGCACTATTTGTACACTCAGTAGGTAAAGGCTGGGTTATTGCTTCTTTGGACAATAGTCACTTTATATGCCATCCACAGAAGCAGCAAAGCCACTCAGACCCTGTGTGTCTGGCGTGCATGTTTGGACACTCCAAAGTCTAGGTCAGGGGTCCTCAAACTTTTTAAACAGGGGGCCAGTTCACTGTCCCTCAGACTGTTGGAGGGCCGAACTGCAGGCTCCAGGATGAGTTGGCTGCTAAGCAGGATAGGCAGCGGCGACAAAAACACCCAGCGGGCCAGATAAATGTCCTAAGCGGGCTGCATGTGGCCCGCTGGCCGTAGTCTGAGGACGCCTGTTCTAGGTCTTATCATGCTTATCTCCACTTCTAATTTCTCATTAAAATGTATTTCTCAAAAAGAGTCTCTTTTACCCTTATCTCCTACCTACCACCCACCAAAATCTAGAGGTTCTGACTGCATCATTTAGATCCCTGTCAGCAGTGTTTCCTCCACTGGTTGCCAGTTCCCTGGGCCACAACCAGATCTCTCGGTATCACAGGGGGTTGCTCTGATTGGGTGCAGTTAGGTGGTGACTCTCTTTTGGTCCATAGTACACTTGTAAGCTTTATCTTTTAAGAACTTTTTTGGTTTTTGTTTTAGGGGGTTCTTTTTGAGACAGAGTCTTGTTCTATCACCCAGGCTAGAGCTACATTGTATCATCTTAGTTCACAGGAACCTCAAATTCCTGGACTCAAGTGACCCTCCTTCCTCAGCCTCCTGAGTAGCCAAGACTACAGGCATGTGCCACTGCACTTGGCTAATTATTCTGTTCGTTGGGTGAGGGAGTGTCTTGCTCTTGCTCAAGCTGGTCTCGAACTCCAGGCCACAAGCAGTCCTCCTGCCTCAGGCTCCCAAATTGTTAGAATTATAGGCTGAGCCTCTGTGCCCAGCCTCTTCCAAGGATCATCCAGTTTCCTGTGCATAACTTTCATGAGGGCGGATGTCAAGAGGCTAAGCATGTGTGACCACTGGTTATTCTTGTGGGGGTCAACTTAGGGTTTTTATTTATTTATTGAGACAGAGTCTCACTATGTGGCCCTCAGCAGAGTGCTGTTGCATCACAGCTCACAGAAACCTCAAACTCTTGGGCTTAAATGATTCTCTTGCCTCAGCCTCCCAAGTAGCAGGGACTATAGGTGCCTGCCACAATGCCCGGCTATTTTTTTGTTGTACTTGTCATTGTTGTTCGGCAGGCCCGGGCTGGGTTCGAACTGGTGTGCATGTTTGGACACTCCAAACATGGAAGATACTAAAGCATGTTCATAAACAGAAAGGAATGATCAAGTGGAGGGGGAAAATTGATGCATAAAATAAGTGGGATAATTGCAAGCATTGATTTGTGGAGTTGGTGAGACGACAGGCCGGGCTCCACAGCACAGATGTCGACACAGCAGTTCCGTGGTGGCCAGCAGGTGGACACAGGTCAGGTAGGTTGGTATTTGGTAAAGGGTATAAAGAAGAGTTGATCTGCTGGTCTCCATTTCCTAACTGAAGTGTGGAGTGAGGATATCAAAATTGAGGGTCACAGGAGATGGTGGTGGAGGTTTGAGGAGAGTGAGGAAGATGGGAAAGTGTCTTTTCAAATTGGGAAAGTCAGGTCAGAGAGTGCGCTAGCACGTTGAAGCTCCGTTGAGTGTGCTGAGTGCCCATTCCAGCAGTGTCTCTCCATGGGTCACACCTTCCTAGTCTTTTCATCTTTTGTTTTTTAATCCCAGCATCCTGATATGTATGAGAGAGCAGTGCTGAGAAAAGACCACCAGAAGAAATATGGGGCGACAGTGGATCTGTGGAGCATTGGGGTGACGTTCTACCACGCGGCCACTGGCTCTCTGCCCTTCAGACCCTTCGAGGGGCCTCGTAGGAATAAAGAAGTGATGTGAGTGGTATCGCCTTCCAAAATTAGAAATGAATTTTAAAATGTATTTCTCATTTTGTTTTATCATGTTAGTGGTATATGCTAATGAAAATTAGTTTAGTAGTCATTTCTGATATTTTAAGGTAATCAGGTTTTTAGTAAGAATGCAACCTAATAAAAATGGATAGACATAATTTAAGAAAATAGAAGATTCCTTAATGGAAAATCTAAATATTTAAGGTCTTTAAATATCTTACATACAAAGTTAAATGGTACTGGTCTTTGGTCCATCTTTAAAAATACACTGACTGCTTCCTGGATTTTATCCCAGCACCCTATCTTTCCTTTATGTACTTGTCAGCATCTTTCCTCTATACAACTGGAGTTAATAATACAATTCTATGGCGTACTAGAGCCATTACCAGATCTATAAGAAATAGAAGTCTTACCCTGAACTGATCTGAGATTTTTATCATTTTAAAAATAACATTTGTAGCTGGGTGCCTATTGCTCAGTGGTTAGGGCACCGGCCACACATGTTCTGGGGCTGGTGGGTTCAAACCCCACCCCAGCCCGTTAAACAAACAAAAAAAATAGCCAGGCATTGTGGTGGGCGCCCATAGTTTCAGCTACTCAGGAGGCTGCAGCAAGAGAATCACTTGAGCCCAAGAGTTGGAGGTTGCTGTGAGCTATGACACAACAGCACTTTACCCAGGGTGACAAAGTGAGACTCTGTCTCAGAAAAATAAATATATAAAAATAACATTTGGTAGTTATGCACCATTAATTTTTTTTCTAGTGTTACAAATTCAGGCCAGAGACTTAAGTATATACATGCAAGTTTTATGTACTGTGATAATTGTTAGGAAGTAATTACTATGCATAAAATGGAAAAGAGAGATGCATTTCTAGATGTGAAATTTATTATGAAAGTTGTCTATATGTTGACCATGCTTCTTGTTAGTTTAGGAGGAATTAGTGAGTGACCCTGCTTCCTGAAAGGCAGCCAATCTGTATACCCAGAGCTGTGAGGATTGCGTGTGTAACCAACTGGTGTGGGGAATAGCCCGCTGACGGCCCAACCCGTCCAACCATTCTTTTAGGTGTTAAACTTTCTCATAACTTAACTTTATATTTGACCCTGCCTTTTATAAGCAAAAATGAGTTAAAGTAATAATCACAACTATAAAAATACAATCATATCTAATCTCATGTTAGAAAATTGAGGGAAAAGCTTTTTTTTTGGTCTGTTTAAGAAAGTAAAACAAATTCAGATGATACAATGACTTTTCTTTGGGTATCAAGAGTGTTTCCCAGCGAGGATCAGGTGTACGTCATGGGGGACACTGCTGACCGCCCTGGTTTGTGTGGAGCGCCATGTGGAGCCTGCTTTACAGCAGTGCCCTTCCTTTAAAATGTCCTTAATGAAAGCTACTTTATCATTGTAGGTATGTTTCAAGGCAAGGTCAGCCTTTCTTGGTGATCCCAAAATGGAGTAAGTCAACATGGTGATGCTCCTGATTAAAGGAAACACGATTCATGGGCAACTGCAAACATTGCCACTTTTATATCAGACAGCTAGCTGGTGCAGGCAGACAGGTGGACCACATGTGGGCACACATTCCAAGTATTTATTACTTTATTTGCACAGAAACCCAGCTTCTTAGGAACAGTGATGCTAAAGAATGTTCAGAGGTGCTTGAAATAATAATGACTGTCCCACTTGACTGGGTGACATGCTCACCTCATGCTGTAGCAGTGCCATCCCCCGATCGTGTTTGCACCTCATGCGTGTGTTTATGTGTGCATCTTACCAAAGCTAGTTAACTATTTTCAAGAATTTATAAGCATTCCCTTAAGAATTTTGCCATTTATTCTCTTGGATTCTCTTTGCAGTACTCCCACATATCACCCCTTGTTGCTCCACAGTCAGTTCTTCTCTCATGAATGTGCCTTATTTTTCACATTAATTTTCTATTCTCTGAAAATGGCAGAAATCCTGACTGCCTCTCCTGAAGAAACAGCAGTCTAAATCAGTCATACCAGTTTGTTGTACTTTTTTTAAAAAGTTGATTTGCTTAGAGCACATTTATTTAGATGTTAAACACAACTTCTGTCAGAAATAATGTCCGTAAGATTCTTCTATTTTTTATATTTTCATGTGGGTGAAAATATTCTCAAAAGCATGAAGCTCACGTTTCTCTCCTACATTTAGGTTTTATTTAGGAAAGGGCAGCACCCTGAAGTGCTAGATGAACCCTAGAGGGCGGGGTGAACCCTGGAGGGCTGGGTGGACCCTGGAGGGCTGGGATGAACCCTGGAGGGCGGGAAGAACCCTGGAGGGCTGGGTGGACCCTGGAGGGTGGGATGAACCCTGGAGGGCGGGGTGAACCCTGGAGGGCAGGGTGAACCCTGGAGGGCTGGGATGAACCCTGGAGGGCGGGAAGAACCCTGGAGGACTGGGTGGACCCTGGAGGGTGGGATGAACCCTGGAGGGCGGGGTGAACCCTGGAGGGCGGGATGGACCCTAGAGGGCTGGGTGGACCCTGGAGGGTGGGATGAACCCTGAAGGGCTAAGTGGACCCTGGAGGGCGGGATGAACCCTGGAGGGCTGGGTGGACCCTGGAGGG